ATTTTTCCCCGTCTCTTTTTTTTTCCTTCTTTTTTCTTTTTTAGTTCAATTTGTTATTGTTTTCTTGGTTGATATAAATTACAAAAATATTACTCCCTGAATTCTAAGAGTTCAATCTTCACTTTTTTTCTTAAGCTATAAATTTAACTTGGTACTTTCAATCCATGTGTTGCATCAACATTTAAACAATAATCTCTTATTCAAATTTAAAGTTCAAAAATACACTTAAAACATACCTTTTAAAATTTAAGAACTTAAATTAAAAACATAAAACGTAAGAGATATTGAAACTTATTAATACTATATCAATTAATTCGTACTCAAGCCCACATCAAACACGCCAACATGAGGATTAATACACCTTATTTATTCTACAGATGTTAGTTTTTTTTCCGGTCTTTACTTCTCATAAATTTATATGGTTTATTTTTCTCATTAAGATGTGTTATGCCGTCGCTGTGGGATTCTTAGGCCAAACAAGTTTAGCAATAAAAAGAATATTTTACACACCGTCTTCAACTATTGGTTGTTTTGCATTTAAGCATTATTTCACCAGCATAATCTCATGGTTCCTCCACAGGCGAATTCAAATGAATTCTGGTTTAATTTCAATTTTCTAGAACGAAGGGAGTTTGAACCAACACGATTTCTGGGAAACGGCGAGACAAAGAACGAAGAAACAAAATTAGATGAATTCCAGAATTTGGAGTTGGGGGACGGATTAGAGCATCATGAACAGATACAGTAAACAAAAAAGCGAGGGAGGAAATTAAAGGAGATGGAAAAAGCAGGGAATCTTTTGCAAAGGGGAATTCTGGGATCACAAACTCGTACGAAGAAGAGACATAGAGTGGGGGTTCTGTTTCATCCAACCAAAAAGATTTCTTTTCAGTTTCTCAAACTGCCGTCCTTCTCCGATGGCTTCCCCACCTCTGTTCTGCTCTGCTCTGTTTCAAATTTCTCTCTTTTTTCTTCCGTCTCTGAAGGGATGAGTTTGTATTTTTATATGTCTACCGTGTGTTCCTTCATGTCAGCTTTCTCAAAATTCCCTCACTTTCCACCATTTCTCCTTCTCTATTCAAAAACCCTCTTAATTCTAGGCTAGGGTTTCGTTTTCCTTCAAAATCCGAGAAAAATCTGGCGGAATTCCTACACCCGCTGCCGCTGCCCCCGTCTTATCCTTTTCTGCATTCCCGTGTTACGCAGCTTTCAATTTTCACTGTTTCATGCTTTCTCTCGGCGCAAGTTAGCGTTTTTCCCTTTCCTCTCCTCTGGTTTTTCCTTCTTTTTTTAAAGGGCAAACGCAGCACAGGGAAAGAATTTCTCTTTTTTGATTAAAGAAAAGAAAAGGGGCAATTAGGGAAAGCTGGACGGAGACTTCCTGTGCCTTGTCGGGGTGGTTGCCCACAAAAAGGTACAATGAATTATAAAAATTTAAACAAATCCTGAAAAGAAGCAGAACAAATAATATATCAAACAATTCCATGTTTTCTCTTTACGATGCCTGCGGCTGTGCCCGTGCTTGTTTATTTAGTCTTCTTTTCTTTTGTTTTCTCCATTTCTCTTCCTCAGGGTCACAGACTCACAGTAGAGAGAGTTTTCCTTTCTTGTAGAACCAAATAGAGAGAGACACCAGCGGTGGATTCAACCTCTCACAGAAGCTTCTCTTCTTCTTCTTTTACAGATTTTTCCCATGCTTTTTGTGTATTCATCTTGATTTTCAAGCTCTTTCTGATGTCTATGCCGTTAGAACATGATTACATAGGCTTAACAGAGTCTGTTCCCCCCCTGGAGAGCTCTGAAAAGTCCTCCGACAGACGGAACAATGGTGGGTTGAACCTCAAGGCCACTGAGCTGAGGCTGGGCCTGCCCGGCTCGGAGTCACCGAGGAGGGACGATGGGCTCGAGGACAATAATGGATACCCTCTCAAGAGCTCTGTTTCCGGGGCCAAGAGGGGCTTCTCTGTTGCCATTGATAGAGCTTCTGCCAAGTGGGTTTTGCCTTCCTCTGCTGGATCTGAAGCTGATTCCAGCAAACCTGGGGGCCTCTTTTCTCCCAGAGTTAATGAGAATAATAAAACTCAGCCATCTTCTACGGCTGTCTCTGGTGTCAAAGATGGTATTTCTCCGTCGGCAAAGCCACTGCATGAGGAGAAACCTCAGCTCTCTGCACCTGCTGCTAAGTATGTCTTTCCCCACTTATTTTTACGCTTTGATTTTCCTCTTCTGATCAGAGTGTGGTTTGGAACTGTGCTTGTTCAACATCTGTTTCTTTCCCTTCCGTCTGTTCAACTTTATTTTCTAGCTTCTTCTCTGATTTGAATGATATTTTGGGGTTGTGAATTGAATCATGAGGCTGTAGTTTTCTTCTTCTTCTTCTTCGTTTTTATTTTTATTTTTATTTTTTGTTAAATGCAAAACTGATGATATTGAAGCAAATAAAACTTGACCCTTTTGACAGACACAAGTGTTTTCCTCTCACTAGAAACAACTAGAGATTGGAAGATCCAGGATTTTGGTTTTTCTCTTTTCCCTTTACATTAAGAAATTATGTCGCCTTTGCATATAATTCACTCGGTTCTGGCCGGTCCGAGCTTGTAAGCTTCGGCAGAAGGTCTCCTCTGTGACCCTTCATCCACCATGCTTAAAGATTATGTAGGAGTAAATTTGAACAGATCTCCATCAAGGCTTCTAGCTTGGCCGTTTCATAGAATTTTGATATTTTTTTACATGTAAATCTCTTTTGACAGCTCCCCTACCTTGACAACAATTATTTGTGTTGGATTTCATGATACTAGCTTAGTCCCTAAATCACTGAAATCTCAAGTCCTTTATCATGTGCGTAACAGGGCACAAGTTGTAGGATGGCCACCCATTCGTTCTTTCCGTAAGAATTCAATGGCAACACAGCCCCCCAAAACTACCGAAGATGCAGACGGTAAGTTGGGATCGGGTTGCCTTTATGTCAAGGTAAGCATGGATGGCGCTCCGTACCTCAGGAAGGTTGATCTGAAGACCTATGGAAGCTATGTGGAACTCTCATCAGCCCTGGAGAAAATGTTCAGCAGCTTCACACTTGGTATTCTCTTAATAGCTAATCTAGTCTTTCAGATCTTGGCTGCGTTTGTTTTGTTAATAACTCCCACCCTCAAGCCTACCTTCATTGTGTCAATCACAAACTCTTTTTAGGAATATGAATGTTTTAGCCTTGGCGTTCAAGGAATTTATGTGGAGAAGATAACTAAGACAACATGAAAGGCCATAAGATTAACAATGAAATCAAGTTTCTGTTTTTGTGGCCATAAAGTTCCTGGCTTCTCGGGTATGTTTTGAGCGCGGGCAAGACGTTCTTGTTTGTCCTAGATTATCGTTACCGATTTGTGATCCGTTATATGTCTTTCTCTTTCTAGCACAGACCTGCCAGAAGGTCCAGAACCATGATCCATGTGAATTAGTTTATGTTACTCGGTTACTCTCAGTTGTATATTTGTAGCAAGCTTTTTTGACAGTCAGATAGTGAACTTTTTCTTTGCTATGGCTGCCTTCATTATGTCAGGTCATTGCGGCTCTAATGGAGTTCCAAACCGGGATGCGTTAAACGAGAGCCGATTGATGGATCTGCTTCATGGCTCTGAATATGTACTCACCTATGAAGATAAGGATGGCGATTGGATGCTTGTTGGTGATGTTCCATGGGAGTAAGTTCTTTATTCACTCATTTGTGTTACACTAAAGTAGCATTTTCTGCAATTCTCTGTTAGTGAACAATGGAATAAATTGCTGTCCATTGAGTCTGACCAACATGAAAATTAAAAAGGAAATCAACATTACTGCAGTTGACTTTCTTTCCTTCATTCGAGCACGAAATTGCTGATCTTTTTAGTTCTCTATCTTATCTTGTGGTATTGGAGGAATGTTCTTCTCTGAAACTGATTTATTCACATGTACCATTCAACAAATTCTCGTTCTTTCAACCTGTAAATGACTGCTAAAAGAAGGCCTCATCTTGGTTATCTTTCAGGATGTTCACTGAATCATGCACAAGGATGAGGATCATGAAGAGTTCAGAGGCTATTGGGTTAGGTATGGACTTTAATGATCTCTTAATTTTGTTTTTGATTCATAAGAAATTAAAATCAGACAAGTTATAGTGGGATTTCATCTTCATGATTATAAGCATTGAGAATATGGGGCTTTGTTCAGTGCTCTCTTAGTTTCCATCATTATCTCCCCCACTCCAAAAGCCTTTTTTGGAGAATTACTTAGCATCTTTCATTTTCATAAAGTTTGACCCCCCACCCCCCAAAGATGAAAAGATCTAACAAATGAAAACATTATTAGTTTAAATTCCATTATAATCGGATCTTTTCCACAAAGTTCATCATAATCTGATGCTTTGGTCTTTCCCATTACAAGGATGCTAATTCGTGATATGGATTGAGCAATATCTTCTAAAGATGATGGAATCAGAATAAAAGAAAGTACTTTTTCCCCCCCTGTGAGTGACCCCATTTGTAAAAGCTTGGCCCTTTTCTTTCTTTTTCTTGCAGCTCCAAGGGCCATGGCGAAGTGCAAAAACCGTAACTAGCAAACGATTTTGCTATATCGATGCATCAATCGTGCACGTTACAGCAAATGATGTTCGAAGATAAATGTATAATCTGCCTGCTGGAAGCGTCAATCGACCAAGAGAATCTTTTCTGAATATTGTTGTTTGTGCATGGGTTCTAAATATTGAAAGAGTTGATGTATCAAGATAACTTCTTTGTTGGCAAAAACGATTTTCGATAGAACGATTCGCAGTATCTTAGTTTGCTCCTCCCTCCCCTCTTGTGATGTTACTTTGATTGTTGTTTGATACACTTTACTTTGTATTGTAAATGGTTTGTTTGGTATGGCAATTGTATCCTCATCCTTCGTACCTGCCAGCTACATCCTCCCCCTTTGTTTCTGGTTCTGGCAGTTGAAAACCTCCTAAAGAGAGTCAATTTATACTGTAATTTCAAGTTTGTGTCGATTTTGTTTCTATTTTCCAGTGGTCTTTGATAAATATTAAAAAAGAAAAGACATATTGACGTAAATTAGTATCTATTTGACCTCTAAGGAGCAGTCCAGTTAACGAGGACTTGAGATTTTTTGGTTATATTATCTTAGAGGTTTCAAGTTTGGATTTTTTGGCGAGTTTAATGCAAAAAAAATTTGATATCTCCCGGAANCATAATTTTTTTTAGGACATAATTGTTTTTACTGAAATTTTGCATGTACTTTTCATTGAATTTAGATATTTAATATTTTGACATGAATTTAAAAACAAACAAAAAAAAAAAGGAAAAAAAATTAGCATCCATTTGATTAAACATTATAAATGGACAAATTGCAAGAAGATTTTGGAGTTTTCTTTATCTTGATTTATCAAAAAATATGTTATTTGAATTTAATAATTACATGGGCGATAATGTTTTTCTTTGTTATTTGGACTTCTAATTAACTTTTTCGTACAATTATTTTTTAATCGTGAAAATATAAGCAATTTCAACTATCAGTTAAGAGTGACTATGGGATTAATCATTAATTAATTTATGCTCAATTATTGATTGAAAAAATTTGTCAATGCATAGTTATTTCTAATATGTAATAGTTTAAGGGCAATAAATAAAGATAAAGCAATTGTATATGGCATGATGTCAATTAGAAATATCCAAGATGGATAGTCGATGAGCGATTTATCTCTCTCTTTTCGTTGAAGAAGTCCAAATTTTTGGTGAGTGAATGACTCTCTTTTATTTACAAAAAGAGAAAGAAATGAGATAGCCCATGAACTAGCAAGGTGTGCAAATTTAGATTTTCAGAAGTCTGACTAGATTTTTTCTCTTCGTGGTTGACCTCTTTATTTAATTCTTCTGTTTACTTTTAGTTTTTCTTTTGTAATTCACTTTCTCCAACAACAACAACAACAGTAATAATAATAATAATAATATTATTATTATTATTATGTCTCAACAGGCCAACCAAACCATTCATATAAAAGGAAATAGAACCCACCACCTTCAAGCCCAATTCAATTCTCATATTCTTTGGATGACCCAAAACAAGAGACGAGATTTGGCCCAAAGCTCAAGCTTGCTCTTCTTCTTCTTTTTCATCTAGTGAAATATCATGATCGGGTCGACCAAGCCACATCATGCACTTTCTTGGAAATGTAAAAAAATCAATTCAGACCAGATTCTTCTTTGTTTGAGTTGTGTTCTCATGTACGCTTGGCCAGCTAAATACAGAAATGCTAGCTTATAACATATATGCTAATATTTATACAAAACTTATAACATATATGCTAATAAATTAATTAACAACATTTTGATTAAATTAAATATTCGGGGTACAATGCTAGTTTATAAATATATTAGTAAATAAATTTGAACAAATTTTTAAATTAAGATCCAATTTTTAAATCTATTACCAAACATATCTTATTCTTTTCATCGAACTCTCACTTTTAAATTTCTGTTTTTAATTAAATGTAACCTAAAGTTCTGATCAACTCAAATCACTTTGATATTATTTTTTTTTTCAATTTCATATCATGATCTGCGTGTTTTGTCTTGAATTAGTATCCGATTGCATGAAAGGGAGTATTAAGAAAATACAATTGGTATATAAATTTAAATGGAATAGTGATCTAATATAATATTAAAACACGAGACCTTAAATTCAAATTTCTACTATTTTTCGTTCTTCCCATTCTACATTCATAATTCACGTGTTGAGTTTTCGTGCTAATATTTAGGTTCTTACGCGTGGGAAAAAACATTTAATATTTGAAGAGGTTGTAAGTAATAAATTGATGAATAAAATATTATTTTCATATATTTAATAATTACTAAATAATTTGTGATCATAATGAGAATCAATTAAAAGGAAGATTGTAGAATATTGAGAATAATTCCTTAAAAATTTTGTGTTTACTACAAAAAAATATATATATATATTAGGACTAGAATAATAATAGGAAAACAGAGATTGTTATTGATATTTGTTTAGGATTATCATAACTATAAAAAAATTCGATATGGGATAAAAAAAAAAAGAAAAAAAAAACAAGAAAAGAAAAGAGTACTGATAGACCTTAAAGAATATTGAGAATGAGAATATAGAGGGACGAAAATACAAGCCAAAAAAAAACTATTTCTATTTTAATGAACAGTATTAGAAATAAAAATTAAAATCATTAATTTCCATTTCTCTTATTCTCCTAATTTTTTTTTACTAAACTTTGTCAAACATTAAGAAAACATACATCTCGAATCTATCCGTATGGGAAGGATCAGTTGATCATAATGAATGCATATAGTACACATATTATATATATATATATATATCTATATAAAAGAAGTTGTCACAAATAAATCATTAATGATCAATGTTTGATGCATTTTAATTAAAGAAAAAATAAATAAAGAACAAAGAACAAAGTGGGAAAGGTGGTGGATTAAATATTTTTTGGAGACCCCCCATGCAGAGAGAGTTAATTATATGCAAAATTGCATGTTGTAGTATTTAAATTAGGCGATGAAAATAAATTAAATTAGCTAATCTTTATAAGTCATTGGAATCGAATCCTGCATGTTGAAGCCAGCCCCTCTCTCTCTCTCCACTATAAACATGATCAAGAGCGTATCTAATCAAGTTATAAATAAATGCTGAATCAACCCTTAATTATGTATGATTAGAGAGCCTTTAATTAATGTTACTCTTAAATAATTGTAGACTAAAGCAAAGATTCCGTCCGCTTAATTTAAACAGTCTGTCGTCCCTTCTAAATTACTGGATGTAGACTCGAATCTCTCTTCCTTGTTTAATATTTATAGAAAATTAATTATGAACTTAATAATTAATTAAAATATTTTTTAAAAGGTTGTATTATCGAATCTCCACGTTTATATTTGTGATGTAATTTATTAAGAAAAGAAAGAATAGAGGGATGTTGGTTTCTTTTGGGTTGCATTTTCCAGGAAATAAGAGACAAAGAAGATCCTTGACATTAATATCTCCAAATCTCCAAGCCAGTTTTTTTATGGGTAATTAAAAAATAGCAAATTGTTGAATTTTAATTCTTTTTTCTTTTCTCTCACATGTTGATGGATCTAAACCCTCTCTTTCTCTGTTGTTTCCAAGGTTTAATTAGAGGTGGTCCCAAGCTTGCTTAATTTTGATACCAAACCCTAGCTTCAATACTTAATTTTGATATATTAAAAACATAAATAATTAAGATAATTCAGCAGATCCACAGTTTAATAACTTCACATTCCCAAATAATTTTGTTTCCTTTTAATTGTAAGCTGTCTTCCATTCTCTCCATGTACAAAAGGATACCAAAAAAAAAAAAAAAACTTTACTTTTTAACTCAAAAATTTGAAAAATAGTTTTACTTAAAGAGTTTCGACACATTTTAACCCTCTCTTAATGTTGTAATTGGTTTAAAATAGTCTGACCATTATGACTTAAAAAATGAACCCGTAATCCTCTGCAATGGTGAATGTCTATATCATCTTTTCGTCCCATCTTATTTTGTATTTTGCTCTTTCTGTCAAAGTTGATGTTTTTATCTTGGAATACATCAACATCTCTCTTTTAAATAGTCTCGGAATGTGCTATGATACAATGATTTTTGCTCTATTATTTGGTACATTTGGTTAGGAAGAAACAATCGCTTTATTTTCATAAATTTTCAAATCTCCAACCCTCTTGTAGGACAATATAACAACACGACTGCTTCATCATGGTCCCCTAAATCAATATTCTTTTATAATTATGACATTCTCATAATCTCTTTGAACTGAAACGCTTTTATTTAGCCTCCTTTTAATGTATGTTTTTCATGTACTTCCTTTTGAATGAATGATGTGTTGTCTTTTAAAAGAAAATGAACTCGTACCCTTAAACTTAGTTTTGGTTTAATAATGATACTCAAATTAAAATCGATGGCATATTAATTACTGCCAAACTAAGTAATGGATAAAAAATGAATTGGATTTTTTATGGTGATGGGACTATTTGGGAGAATACAAAATAATGTTATGGGTTGAAAAAAAAAAAAAAAAAGAACAACTATTCCCAAGGGGATTTATATATATATTGGAGATGTTGTAAATGTGAGCATGTGCCTCCAAATCTAGAGCGATATCCCTCCACTTCCTTCTGTCTATGATCCTTTTTTTTCTCCTCAAAATTTTAATTTTCTTCCAATATATTATCATCAAATCGTATCCACATGATCCCTTTCTTTTCTTAATTCCCTTACTTTATCAACAATTTTGATATTTTAAATCATTCCTCCACATTTTTCTTTTTAAAAAAAAAAGATTATATTTTCCCCTCTTTTTTGGATGCTCACTCCATGGTGAGATGATCCTCAACAAATTATGCATATATGCTCCACTTTTATTCTTCCATTCAATTCTTTGTTTTGAAACACATTGGTGCATTTTATTTTCTATATCATATTTATTGTTTGAAACACACGTACTACTTACATACTTGCTTCTTCTCTTCAAAATTTTCCTTACGGTCATTTGACTTCAAGTGACGTAATTAAAAATAGATTTTGATGAAATCAATCAGTTATATAAATATAGTTATAAATGGATTAACGCCCGTTTCATAATAATTTCATTTTTGGTTTTTAGTTTCTTTTTTAATTATATGCTTGTTTGCTTCTAACTTTTGTACTATGTTATATTTCCAGTTTTAACTCATAGTCAAATTTCAAAAATAAAAAACCAAATTTTGAAAACTAATTTTTTAGTTTTCAAATTTTAACATGATTTTAATAATACTCTTAAGAAATACTTGAGGGTTAGTTTTATTTTTAAAAATAAAAAATAAAATGGTTATCAAAAGGAGCATGAAGATGATAAAACTTAGTTTATTTCAAGATGTTTATCTAGTCTTAGAATTTCCTGACTATTCATATATTTTTTTTATTATTTTGTCGATAATAGATTATTCATATTTGTGTCGTTTAAAGAAAAAAACTTATTCATATGTGTGTTGTTTAAAGAAAAAAACTTAATCACAAGAGACATTTAAAAAGTTTATATTATATAGTTAATAAAGGGAGTGATGCATATTGGGATTACCTAATTAAGAACTAATAAAAAAAGAGTTTTGAACCACCCTGCAGTTTGAGTAATTATTTAATAATGTCATTGCAAAAGTGCCAATTAAAAATTTTATGTTTAATCGAGATGGACTAAGTAAGATATGCAACGGAATAATTGATTGAGATCAAATACATCTGCAAAATATTATCAGTTTCATTTCTCAAAAAAAAAAATAAAAAAAAAATATACATATTATCACCTTCATTTATTTATAACAATAATGAGATTCACACCAAGATATCAATCAAAATTGACTAAGATACATGAGTTACATACATTCCAAAACTAATCCACATCAACCAAAACCAATTTTAATTGAATGGTTTAAAAATGATATAACCAAAGAACCAATATATTATAGGGTCCAAATTTCGTCACCCTTTTATCATATATATTTTCTAAAATAATGTATATAACACGTTAATGAAATCTTAGCCAATTTATAAATTAAGAAGGAATTGAGGTTAGATTCAATGATAAATTTGGATTCAATGGATTGATTATTTAAAAGATAAATGAGGAAAATGACGACATAGTTTAATTTGGAGGGATTAGGTAGGAGGGATTAACTTTTTGTTGAAATTAATTGTGTGAAGTTCAAAATCACATGCTCCTTTTTAAAAAAACCAAAAGCTTTTTACTTTCCAACACACAAACAACTATCCCCATATTATGTATATATGACCCACTAATTAATACAATCAACCCACAAACACCTCAATCCATTGGATTTGCTTCCTCCTTTAATTTTCTTTTTTCTTTTAAATTATTAAACCTCAATATTATTCTTCATCAATATAATATCTTAGGTCCACTTCAAGTTTAAGCTTTCATATATATTTTTGAGAAGATTTCATACCCAATCAGGATAATTGTATATTTATTTATACATCCATGATGTTTTATTTATTTAACCGGTATCAAATTCGATCCGAAACGCTCCATGATGATTGGGTTCGATCTCGATTTGAGATGGAACCTATGAATAATATTATTAAAGTTCAAAACGCTCAAAATGAGCATTCAATCCAAACAAAGTTTTATGATAGACACAGACTACTCCTCTTATTGTCACTCCATTAGGAGATTCATTAACAAGTCATGGTGGAATGATTTCTAAAGTGATAAAAGTCTAGATTTGTGTTATCAATTTCTTCATATACTTAAATTCATCTCATCTGTCTAGTCCTTTAATAGTAAATTATTGTAATTTATTATTGATTATGAAGGTAAAGGACAATCCCTCGGGGGCTGCAAATCAGATTTGTAGGATCTTTGTCATCTAATTTACCATTTGGGTTTCCTAATGATTAAAAACATCTTACAGCTGGGGATGGATCATCTTTTGGTTTTGGTGCAATGATATTATGTCACGCAAGCTTTTGATTCTTTCTTCTTCTTCTTCACAAAACAGGATATATTGAATGGAAATAAAACGTGAAATTTAGGACCCTTTTTTTTTTCCTGACCCATACAATTGATTAGGTACAATCAATACAAATTTATTTGATTATCATGATTTAAAAGCCGACCCATCATTTCAGGTCCTTTTGAACTTGATGCACACCAGATTTGGGACAAAAGTAGATTCCTCTAAATGTTTAATATTTATCTTGTTTCAACCTTTTATCATCTCCTTTTTTTTCAACTGATCTAAACAAATGTTTACAATTCTCGGTTATATGTTGTCAGAGTATAGTTTTATCTTAAATGTTGATTAGGCAGGTAAGAGGAGTGGTTCACAAGACTTATATAGACCATTTTAGTGAGAGGAGCTGCAACTGAAAAACATGTGTAGATTGCGACCAAACTTGCATATTGGCTTCGATAATGGGGACAACATCCAATATTATACTATTACGGGAGGACTAAAAAAGTGGTGAGGCTCGAAGTTGAAGATGGTTGGAAGTGCCTAAAATACCATAATATTATGGAATGTGGGAGGGTTTGTTGTTCCTATGAATAAATATGTATATCAATAAGTGGAGGTGGGGGATTCGAACTCGTCACCGATCAAAGATATGTGCTAATTATCGTGGGTTAAGTTTTCCTCGGCTAATTGACGATGGTTTTATGACCCTTTTTTTTGAGTAATAAAATAGTGATCAAGTATGTGTTACCTCTCATAAAGATTTGTGTATATACCAATAATTACACTTAATTTCAATTCTAGATCTGTTTGATTAATTAATTAGAAGAATGTTGACTAAATAAAGTAATTAAATAGTAGAAAATTCTAGCCAAGACTCTAATCTAATATAAACTTATCCGCAGTTTCATGTTTTAGTTAAAAATAAAAATTATATTCACTATATTTGTTAGAAAACTTCTCTAAGTTACTTATCAAATCTTTCCTGGAATATCAGTATAATAATCTACCTATAAGTCTTTTTATAGGTCAATAAATACTGTATAATGTTGCACAAATATTTATAATATATTTTTCTCTATCTTAGACATAAGATATAGGTTAATTTAACCTTGAATGGATTCTCCAATCTCTGTCTCTATTTGAAATTGGTTTCCTAATCATGTCACTAATTAACTAAATAATTAATTATTTGTCCTTGGTGAAAAAAAGAATATTTCATGATGAAGAATAGGAAATACGCGACAATAAATATATAACATATGAAACATTATATTTTTAATCTTATAAACTAAAGAAATGTTAAAAGTAAAATGAAACAAAAAAGACGTTGAAAATTTTCACCCAATAATTTGTCCTTGGTGTGGTTGCCTCGCATCTCTCACACATCCCAAGATGTCAAATATAATATTGGCTAAATTTATAAATGTATCTCTTTTTTCTTGTCTGTACTCATGTCCCTTGGATTCACACCAAAATAATATCATTTATTTAAAGAAAAAGAAAAATTTGTCGATGTAACAAAAATTATTATTGTAAGCGGTTAATTTCGAAAAGAATCAAAACCCGATCATATTCATATCTAATATATTATTACTAATAGGTAGCAAAAACAAAATAAGAAAAATAGTAGGAAGGGGAATAAATATAAAAGTAATTATTATTATGCTGAATATATATGTTATATGTTGGGTATGATGACGTGGCACATAGGAAAAATAAGAGCAATAAAGTATTCAAAGCTACAAACATGGCGATATTAAATAAATAAAAGGGTGTAATGTAATGAAGGACGTGTCGAAGCAGAAGGGAGAGAAGAGGGGGAATGTAATTTAAAAATGCAGAAAATCTAAGACAATCGCTTTCAAGTTGTAGTCAACAAAGTCGGAATTAAAATGAAAAATACTATATTATTGAATTCTTAATTAAGTTATAAAAAAATAATAATAAAGATGAAGGGTTCGGAAGGAATATATAATATTTAGTAATGCACTGAAAATCTTAACGCAATCTCGTTCCAGCGATGCGTTTCTCTTTTCTTTTTTTTTGTCTTCCAAAATTCCTGCTGTACGACGTCGTTTAATTAGTTCCTGATCAGGCCGGGAAATACAAATTGAAATAATTAAGTTCCAAAATTCCTGTATTGTGCAGCGTGGGATTTGTATGTGTGATTAATGGCCGGGAGTGGTTATTTTGGGGAGCAGAGTTTGGGATCGCCGTCACCGTCGCCGTCTCCGAGGCGATCGGGGAAGAAGAGTGGTTCGGGTTCGAGTTCGGGTTCCGATAAGCAGCCGAGGCAGCCGCAGAGAGGATTGGGAGTGGCTCAGCTTGAGAAGATCAGATTGCATGGTGAAATTGCTTCAGCTGCTGCTGCTACGGCTAGTTATCATCCCACTTCTTACTCCTTCAACAACGTACCTACTCTTTCTCTTGTTTTGATTTGAACTTTCGACTTATAAGAAAGATTAATAGTAAGATTCCTTCAGCTCGACCTAATGGATAAGTTGACTTTTATATCGTTTCAGGATCAAGAGGCTGTGGCGAGAGTGCAGACGGGATATTCGTCTATGTCCTCGTCCTCGTCTTCCTCCTCGCCCTCCTATGCCTTCCCCTCCAATATTATGGTAACGACTCGCACAGCTCCGCTATTAATTAGTTTCTGTAGTATCTTCTAAATTAACACGATTTCAAATTACACTAATGTTTTATCTAGTTATATTCGAGACAATAATAAACGGATATTTTTATGTACTAATTTCTCGGTAGGACTAACCCTAGTGAGAAGTCGGTAGAATTTGAATTTTCGCAACAGTTTTTTTTTTAATAGGTAATTCTGTAAAATTATTTGATCTTTCTAAAAAAGAGATTTTTACCCACACAGTTACTTGAAAAGGTGTGTGTTATTTCTGATGCTAATAAGTAGCTTTACTTGATTAATTTGTATTAATAATTTTGTTAGCTTTTTCCTACAAATATCCAAAATTTCCAATAATGTTAAAAACAATAATTTATTATACTTGCAGATGGGGTTTGGAGAATATGAAAGAAGAAACCTCATAGATGGCGATTCTCAATACAGCACAGCAGCAAGGTAGTATTACAGATAATCATTTAATTAACTTAATCACACTTTTTGGTTAATATATGTTCTTTTAATTTACAGACAAATTAAGTTGAAAATAAATTTGAATGTAAAAATTAGATATTGATTGGTTAATTGGGAACAGATGGGATCCAAGCAACGGTGGCATCTTAGAGAGTACACAACATTTTGCACAGCCAAGTATGCCATGTTATCTTCAAAATCCACAAGCTGAGGTACTTACTCTAATTCTCTCTGGTTTTTATTTTGCTTCTTAATTTTTTTTTTTTAAATTTTGATTTGAGTCTTTGAATTAATTATGTTTTTCTCCAAATGTTAATTTTGGTCCAACTACTATTATAAAGGTCAAATTTTAGTCTCAATAATCTAAATATAACTCGAGCATGAGATGATGAATGAAATGACATCTAGATTTAACTTAGGATAAGATTTGCGGGTAGGGATGACTAAATGTGCAACTTAATGAAAGTTGGAGATCTGTTCGATAATGTTTTAGTTTCTTCATTTCTAATAAATGAAAATAGAATTTCATTACTCCCAACACCCATAAATTTTTCAAAAATGATAAAACTAGAATTATATTTATAGTGGAACAATGTTGTTTCTCAAACTTCTAAATTTAGGAAAAAAAACCTAAATAGTCATCAATTATTTAGATTTCTTACTAAAAACAAAAAATAACATTGTGGGCACTAAATGGCTAAAATTTTAAAGGTGGGAAAGACCAAAATAGAAAGTGAAAGTTTAGATACCGAAATAAAAAAGAGATTAAAAAAAGGGGTACCTTTCATTTTTCTAACTTTCTTGTAAATTTAGTGTTTCTGTAACTTTTCTATGGTGCATTTTTCCCAATGTAAAGTAGTTTCCAAAAAAGCATATACATGAGGGAAATCTCTTAAACAACACTTAAGTTTTGAGAATAATTTGGAAGATGAAGATGAAGATTTGTTTTTGTGAAAAGGGGTTAATTTTATGGGTGTGTGTTGGTGGTGCAGTGGAGGCAGAGCAGAAAGACAAAGAGCAAAAGGCAGAATAACATTAATTGTGAAGAAGCATGTGATGATGAGAGCCAAGAACTGGACTTGGAGCTCAGACTTTCAATCTAAATATTAATTATTCAAGCAACCCCATGGTTTTGGATTTGGATTTGGATGCTTCATCTTTCTAATTTCATACCATAATTTCCATGGAAATTCAAATATAATTGGATCTCTCAAAATTGATGTAAGTCAAGACTACACCAACTTTGTGGAACTCTCTTCTTTATATGTGCCTTGCTTTAATGAATGAATCAATGGGCTCATCAACCCATTTTTTTTCATTTATAGGACTCAAATTTACATGGGTATTTCTTAAAACATAAAAAGAAAAAAAAAAAGGGTAATTAAAGTTTCAAGGTGTGTTTCAGAGGCTGGGCTTCTTTATAAGCTGAGTAGTAATGTAAATAATTGTTTCATATATATATAAAATAACTGGATCTTCTTCAGATTTCTGTACATACAGCTTCATTATTCATGAACAAAAACGCCTCATTATTATAAAGTCTGTGCCGTTGTAATTGTATCGTGTCATCGTCACCGGCTAGCTGGTCGAACACAACCACCGTCTGGCGGTGGTGCTTCCGCAGTCGGAGCAAAACGCCTCGGACATTCTTCACTGCCGGGGGAGAAACAGTGGAAGAGGGGAATTTTTTATTTCTTGAATGTAATATTGACCAAATGAAAGCATTATATATGTCCAAGAAACGTGTATTATTATTATTATTTTTTGAAACATTAAAAAAATGTGTAAATACCCAATCTTGGCCGGATGCTCGGCTTGTTGGGCTTTGGATTATGATATATGACTTTAATATTTGTTTCTTGCGCTTGGAAATTAATTCTTAGTCAGGTTGGTATAGGATTTAAACTCAAATTGTGACGGTCAGTAGAGAAGGGAGGTAATAATGAACCAACAGCACATTAAGAAAAGTCTTAAAGAGAATAGAGAGTTACTATCTATATTAATAAAATGTATCTTTCTTTTCAGTAACTAAAAGAATTGATGGCACGATCAGATTGCAGGGGATGTTGGGAAATGCTAAGTCTATCACTTATATTATAGCAATGAAATGAAAAATGATATGTATGCGATATTTGACTTCATTTTTTATTCTATTAGGTCTATTACTAATTTACCTCTATTGTTATCTTAGTGATACTGTCTATCAGATATGACATTTATTTTAATAACATAAAAATGGTATATTAATGTGACATATGGGATAGAAAATAAATTCCATAAAAATGTTTAAATAGGCACAAAAAGATTTTAACAAATTATCATATTTACAAATTGTTTTCTGCACGCTAGATTTTCAAATATGGCCATTTATTTTGCCACCCATTAAAATTTCTCATAATTTTATAAGTTTCTCCATTTTTCTTATTCTGCAATATCTTTTGTGGGTTTTGTGTGAACTGTGAAAGGATATATCATATGCATCTATCAGAGAAACAATTGTAGTTTCAATTGAAAATAGAGGGCTGAAAATAATTAATACACAAACACCGCAGTTCATTAATTAACTTCATTTATGCAATTAATAACTCTGGAAGATGCAAGATTCACCATCAATTAATTAACTCCTAACGCCCAAATCCTATGGCAAAAAAGAGCAGATCAGTTTCTTAAAGACCCTTAGCTAGGAAGAACCTGTTTTTTCAGTACAACATGTGAGGATGGGGAATCGAACTCGCAACCTTTTGGTTGGAGATATATGTCAATTACTGCTGAGTTATACTCGCCTTGACAAAAAGAATGTAGTTTATCAAAAGACTGTAAAATTTTTTAATAATATATAGAATGAGTAGTTTGGACCCTGTCGTATGTACACAAGTGAGAGATTTATGCAAAGAGTATCGTAATAATAATGAAACTCTTAGTAATGAAAACTTATGATAAGTCAAGATTAATAAAAATATAATGTTTATCATAGATAGACTCTCGACTGACGATTTATTAATTAATTCGTGTGGACAAACTAATTTGTTAGCTTATGTAATGTGGGATGATGCATATGATAGACCTTGTGAAATGCAAAAAAGAGATCACATGATGTTGTGAAGTACTAAAAGATGAAAAGAAAAAGTGATCTTAAAAACATAGTTTGGTTAAGGTATATATTCTCGATCAAAAAGTCGAAGGTTCAAGTCCTTTTATTGAAGTGAAAGGGGCAATTTCTGAAAGAGACATCCAAAACTTTTCTTCAGAGGAAGAGACCCCCTCTTCTCCAAAGACTGAAGAGAGACTAAATTCATTAAGGACAGACCCAAAGTTTAGAAACATAACCAGATGAAAATACATTAATTTTGTCACATTTTGAGATGTGTGAATCCAATTACAGAACGATTTTCAAGGATCAAAATGAATTCACGCCAAGACAAATAATAATGTTCTAGCTGATATATGTGCACAATCAAGTCAGTTCAAAATTGCAAGAAAAAATAGACCAAGGTGATCTCAAAACTAGCTGAACTTGAAGCCATGTTCAGAATCTTTCCATAGAGCTAAATCTGCATTATCTGTGAAGGAACAGAGTGTGGATCCAAATTAGACCCCATCCACATTTGTAGCCATTCTTGAGGCTAAGAAAGCAAAGCAGCTCCCAGTTTCATGTCACAATACAGACATCTTGAAGCGATAATTTCTGCTTCCTATTTCCCCTCAGGCCACCAACTATATATATAGAGTAACAAAGAGGAAAGAATTGGACAGGAGAAAACTTTCCAACCTAAACAAACAATTTAAGAAACAACTCAGTTTCTTTCTTCAAATACATTAGTTTTTGTGGAAGTGGCATCAATGAGCTAAGGAATTTGATGTACCTTCCCCAAGTTTGTTTTTGCTGAAACATTCTTCTAGAGAGAAAAAAAAAAGATGAAGTTGATGATCATTTTCATAAGAAATATAAAAAATATACGCAGCAAGGATTATTGCACTATGAATATGCTTGAAATCAGTATATAATATATGAATATACATCACCTCAATAACTGGCAACCCACAACATAAATTGCATTAGACCAGCGCACGACCTTCCTTCATTAATTAATATTCATTTGGATGCGTGTGAGAAAGAGAGAAGAAAACTCTACCAACTATTTTTGTTTGATATTTTCATACATTGAAAGCCAATAAAATATGGAGTGAATTCTTTTCGATTGGGACAACTCAATTGGCAAAGACAAATTGATGGGTGGGTTCATCTGCAATTGATTTTATGAAAAAGGAAAAAATGTATGAAAGTCAAAATAAGATTTGTTGTTTGTAAAATGTCTATCAATTTTATGACTTTTCATTCGCTGTTTTGTTGTTTGGAATGGTCCTTGGTCTCAAACGTTGTTGTAAAAATCTCTTTTCATGTCAAGGATGAGTTCAAAATTCATATAGGAAATGAAATTTAATAGCCCTCAACACAAGAATCATTTAAACTCACAATTGGGTCAGAAGTATTTTCATCCAAAGATCACTAAAAAATGAAACTTTGAGAAGCTCTTACCATAGTTCTTAGCATTACGCTCACTCCATGCTCTTATCAAGTTGGGGGTCCACACGTCTTTCTACACCATTTGATCCAACAAATCTATAATTTAGGAATTGCAGACCATCAAAACATGCATGCACATTGTTTCCACAGATGTCTAATGAATTAACTAAACTATACATTAAAAGAGAAACAAGAATCAATTTATATAATGTCAACAGGGGACTTCTTCAACTTCATTATTCCTAAGTTTGCAAAGCTGTAATTCTAAGTATATATTTATTGCTCTGACTTGTGCAAATTAAAGATTAGAAAAGGCAATGTCCAATGATGAACAAGGAAAGAGAAGTTATATAAAGCAATCACAAACTTGAATTTTAGGAACATCCCATTTCAATCCCAGGGCAGAAGACAGATATAGAGCTTACCGATATTTGGGATTGAGATGGCAAAGTTTCAATCACTTTCTATAGCATTTTTGGTCTGTGTGATTGCTTGTAATCACATCGTAGTTGATGCCGATATTTCAAAGAACATGGTCCTAAGCTGGGGAAATCCTCAGTCCAAAATAGTAGGGGATAGCCTTGAGCTTGTTTTGGACAAAATTTCAGGTGAAATATAGTTTCTTCCTTTGATTCGTCTAGTAGTTAGCTTTGATGATCATGATTCATGACCAATAAGAACGATCTTGTTGTTGCAGGCTCGGGAACAAAGTCGAAGAGGACTTTCTTATTTGGAAGCTTTGAAGCTCTCATCAAGTTGGTTCCAGGGAATTCTGCTGGAGTAGTTACGGCGTATTATGTATGCTTCAGTGCTGAACACACACCTGGCTAAATTCAGAAGACATTAATCTACATTAATTCACATGGTTTCTACGAAATTAGGAAGGAAATTATATATGAAGTTTATGGTGCTAAATTCTTCTTCATCTTGAATTTTCTGCAGCTAACTTCTACAGGGACAAAGCATGATGAGATAGATTACGAATTTTTGGGGAATGTTACAGGACAGCCTTACACCATTCATACAAATATATACACTCAGGGTGTTGGAAACAGAGAGCAGCAGTTTCGAGTGTGGTTTGATCCTACTGCTGATTACCACAATTACACCATTCACTGGAATCCTAATACTGTTGTGTAAGTGAGATTAAATTTTAAGTTCTACTGTAAAAGAACACTATTGCCTGTCTTATTTCATCAAACTGTTAATCTCTATCCAAACAATATCACCAAGATGAAATTCGCAGTTCCAATCACTATTATGCATCTAATGCAAAAAGGGAATGAGAATAGGATGGAAGAAACGACTAATAATAAAACCATGCAGGATAACAAGATAATACAATCTGTTTACGAGAAGAAAGTAGCAAATGTGAAAGAATAACAACATGATGTGATATGGATGATTTCAGGTGGTATATCGATGGCGTCCCAATTAGAGTTTTCCGAAACTATGAGAAGCAAGGTATAGCTTACCCTAACAAGCAAGGTATGAGAGTACATGCCAGTTTGTGGAATGCAGATGATTGGGCAACTCAAGGAGGTCGTGTGAAAGCAAACTGGACCAACGCACCATTCATTGCTGGAATGCGCCGATTCAGACCAAGAGCTTGTTACTGGAATGGAGCAGTCAGCATTAGCCAATGTGCCACCAAGTCCCCAGCAAACTGGTGGACTTCCCCATTTTATGCACAGCTAAATGCAGCTCAATTGGTTAAGCTTGGTGAAATCCGGGAGAAATACATGATATATGATTACTGCAGAGACACTAATCGGTTCAACGGGCAAATGCCACCAGAATGTTTTAGACCTCAGTTCTAACACAAAGACGAGTAAAGCTAATTCAGTGTTCAGAACAGCATTACCGCCAACAATAATATTATTGCACTCCATTGTTTTTCGGAAATGTTAATTTTTCTTCTCTGGGAGAAGATTTCTCCTTTTCTTACTCGGTTCCTGTTTGTGAGCTCAAAGCTTTATGATAGATGTGATAATGTGTCTACCTGTGTTTGAAAATGATTTACATGTTTCATATAGAACTTCTTTTCCCATTGTTTTATCTGTATAGGGTTTGTACGGAGGAGCTCTAAAGTATAAGTAAACAGAAAAAAAACCGATTTGTAAAATATAAGTGCGCAAAAGTATTCTGCCTTAACGGCAAAGAAAACAAGCCATGCAAATAAGTCAAGAGAGGCAAAGAAAGGAACTATTTGATACTTCACATTTTCGTACAGATTGAAACAGAAAGTGGTTCATTTTTTACATTTTAGACAGAGCTGTGATTGGAAAAAGCATATTTTGAAGGCTTAACCAGAAAGAAACAAATGCATTCTTTTGCAGTTAGCTGTACGATACAGGAAACTCGGGTCAAAAAAATCAACTTTTTTTTTCAAATAAGAAACAATTTCATTGATGTATGAAATTACATTATTGGCCCATAAGAGGGCTTACAAAAAATTTTTCCAGCTGAACATAAGAGAAGAAAAGCTATAGTTGTGGAAAATAGGAGCATCTACACCAATAGATAACCAAAAAAACTATAGCTTCAAAAATGCGATTGAATGAGAGCTTGATTCCATTGAGGTTGCACTGGTTCTTCTTCTTCTCTCTCCACGTTAGCCATAAGAAGGCTCTAACAAAATTCATCCATAGGAGTTTCTTTTGGTTATTTTTTATGCCTCTAGACGTTGAGGAAAAGAAATAGTCACAGGATCAACTATCTTTCATTCAGAATTTTGTCCATGGATGTTTAGAAGGCCAGCTTGTGAAACTGTTCAAAACACCCAATGGTCAAGGTGATGCGAGCGACTCCTATTCAAACTGAGCCCAATGGCCAACTTGCACCTATCTGTGCTCTTACAAACGCCTAACCCAATCATTGACTAAGATATAATCGTGCACCCATAGTGCAAGACAAGCGAGTTGGGTCGGGAAGGAGTTTGACTGTTGAGACAGGATCGAATTCATTCTCCTCAAAAGCATTCCACCATGAATAATGGGCTGGATAAACAGTTGACATAGGAACTCCTATATATCTATAGGATGGGCTGCAGTTAACCATCTCGAAAGAGCTTTCAATCGTTCTACTTCTTATGCAATTAGAGTAGTGTAAGTTTCTCTACCTAATAGGATTCAAAATCTCCCAACCAAGGACACCCTTTCCTTCTCTAATTAATTTGACCGATTATCAAAATCAACCAGCCCTCTTCCAGTGCGCTATACAAATTAGTCTCGAATCTCAAGAGACCAACCAAACACAACCCAGTGTCGGATATCACCAGTAGTATTTTGACAGTACTAAATTGGATATATTCAGTTCAGACACTGTAAATAGGAATATGGAATATTACAATCGCGGCTACAATAGCAACAAAAGATAGGTGAAACAGAAAACAATGATCAGCAAACAAATTACATTCGGATGACAGATGAGAATGAAACCTCAAAACCTAAAAGTAGAATTACTTAATGCAAAGCCAAACGCCCAAACCAATAAGAGCGGTACCAAACAGAGCGTACCCGACGCGAGTCTGTTCGCCAAGGAGCATTCCAAAGACGGCGGTGGCGGCAAATGTGGTTGCGTTGGTGACGGGCACGGCGAGGGATATAGGGGCATCGCTTAGAATAGCGAAGAAGGTAGCTGAGGCGGAGAGGTTAAGCAGAAAGGGGATGGTGTACTGCCAAATTGAGAGGAGCTTGAGCCATCGGAGGAGGGAGGAGCTTGAGCCATTGGAGGAAGAATTGAGAGCTTGGTCCCAGAGAAGCGCGCCGCGGCGCATCAGAGCGTTAGTGGCGCCCCAGACTAGACCAACCGCAACCATTTTCTCTACATCTCCGATCATCTTCTTCTTCCCTAGTCTCTGTTTCGCTGACCTGACGAAGTTCTTTCGGAAATCTGAGCTATGTTTCTTCACTGAAATATTTTTATTTATTATTTTTTAAGGAAACTAGCACTAACCTAAGGGTTTTTCTGAATAATAACCCAAACTTGGAGGCGTTAACGAGATATGTCCGTTTTTTAAAAAAATTGTTATTCTAATCTTCATGACATCATTTTATTGCGGCGAATTACTTTTCGTAACCCCTCACTCATTTCTTTTATTATAGCGATAACTATAGTAAGCATGATAGCTATGGAGAGTAACAATAGTGGTATTAACAACATACTTCCAATTTAATCTCAACAATTCTAAAATCATTAACGGTAATGATAACGATAATAACATTAATGATAGCAATAATAACTGTAACAATAATGATAATTACACTATTGATTACGATAGCATTAGTTTGTATCAGCAACATACATTCCTTATTTTTCTCATCCTTCCAAATTTTTCAACTCTTCTTTATTTCTCTTTAGGTTCTATCTATATCTTTAAATTTATATCTACCACTACCTACATCTATACTTGTATCTCTACATCTACATCTACTGAAGAACATTGAATTTAAAAAATATAAAAAATATTTCAGAAAAAAATGTTTGGTACGATCCAATTTTTTTCATGGAAAAAAAAAGAATTAAATCTAACTAAAAATTATTCAAAATATCAAAGCATGTATTACATTACATGTCAAAATGAACTAATAACAAAAGCAGCTGCAATTTATTATTAACTCTCATTCAGACAAAACTTGCACTTTAAAAGTCTTTACTTCTAATTACTAATTCGAAGTAACCTATGACCTCTCTATCATGATTTTAAGCCATGTCCCAATCTAATCCATTCATAGATATCTTCATCACGAACCAAATGTCGCCTTATTTACCCCAAAATCGTCTCAAATGTAATTCAATTAGTCAAAGATATTACTAACCTCCTTTAAAAGTCCAAATATCCATTCAACAGAAATATTCTAAACAAACAAAAAAATTAAAACAACTTAAGAATAATTTTTCCTAGAGCTGATCTTATAGTACATGAATACTAATATACATCAGTGATCAAAACATTCATAAGGATAATTGTGTAAATGTCAAAAACCAGAAACTTTCGAGCCTTTGGAAGGCGCCTATGCATAAGTAAAGGATATCCCCACTGCACCCTTAACGAACAACCACTCTTTACTACGTTTGGGAAATGTGATATATATTTTCAACTAAATAAGGCTCTTGTAAATTTGTAATCAACTACTTCTAAACACCAGCTGATGGCTCTTGATATTTCAACTGGTTCAGAAGTCCATACCACAAACAAAATCACTTCTGGAAAACGAAAATTGGTCTGTTGAATCCTCCTGCATTGCTCTCCGACAAGCCGGGTGTTAGGTCTTCAACTGTTCTGAACCCAATCTGCAGTGCATTTTTGTCCAAAGAAAATGAGTGAAACTGAAACTGAAACCGATGCTGTGCATAAAACTCAGCCAAATCATTCATAAAAATACCTTGTCTAGGAGTATGTCTTGGAAATCTTCTGGATGGAGCTTTATAGTCCTGAAGTTATTTTTAGTTGTCTGCATTCAGAAAGATCAGCTAAAATCTTAGGCAATATGGTAGGAGGAACCAAGGAGCAAGAAGAACACTGAAACAGTTTGAAGTTCGGGTAACAGTGATAGTTGATTAACAATCTAGCTGCACTGGATATTTTACCTCGGAAACGGTGTAGTTGGTTTCATAAGACTTCCATGGTTGAGGCTCCAACACAAACATGCCACCCTGCCTTTTCAGAATGTATGCATGGTTAAAGAAGGTTCTTAGTCAAATTTGAAAGCATATACAGACGTATACAACCGACAACGATTATCCTTAACCTCAGGATCATGTAAAACAAAGTAAGCAGAGATGCTATGAATCTATGGGTAAGTACCGGGCGAAGAAGTCTCCAAATCTTGGAAAACAATGTAATTAATCCATCATCTCCCCAATTTAGATGAATCCACTTCGTTACACTCAAACTGCAGTACAGAAAATACAGCATACTGTAACCCCAGAAGGAAAATGTATCAAGGCTCATGAAAATAAATAGCATTAATATGCAACATATCATATAATAAAATATTAACTTACCAAAGAATGGTATCGTAATGCTTATCAGATGGATGATCATTAAATATAAAGTTCCGTTGTCGAAAAGAGATAACCTTGCGAAGATTTTGTGCCTTAGATGAACAAGTACTTGTAGGATCTTCTGTATCTACCTTTGGAACTCCAGAAGCACCAAGCTCCAAACCATTAACAGATTGCCCAACTACCAATTTTGTAGCCTTTTTAAGATTCCAGTATGCATCATCAATTCGATCTTGCATACAGAGAAAGTTACCAATTGGAAATGAAGCAACCATATATGTAGAAAGATTAGGAGATCAACACTGGCTAAAAGAAAGCACGAAACAAGCTTGTTTTTGGCCAACCAAAGCATAGTTATACGGGTTAAGGTACATGTATCCAACCATGAGATTGAGAGTTTGAATCTCCACCCCTTATATGATGTACTAAAAAAAAAAAAAAAAAACATGCTCACTTTTGAGATTTATTTTCACCCAAAATAACTATCATGATACAGTGTATTCCCACCCATTAAGAAGAAATGAGCAACTAAGAGGCTATCGGGCATGATAAAATTAAATGATAAAGGTGTTGCACTTCACAATTGCAGCTCAGAGAAGCATGAAAGGGCATACTACAACAAAGACTGTCTTGATCTAAATATTTCTCATTCCTAGCCTTATCAAAAAAACCTCCTTTCGATCTCTAGCCTTTTCATACGAAATCCATTGATAACTCTCCGACCAAAGCTCCCTAATACTGGATTCCTCAATTAATCTACACTACACCCAACAATAAAGCAGCATAAAACCATATCACGCTGTACATAATGCATTTATGCCTAAAATAATTGTTGATACAGTGCATCGTTGATCAAGTCTTAGACCTCCAAATAAATAAAAAGCACCTCCGTACACTTTGTGGAAGTATAAAGTGCATGTAACTTTGTGAGTGGGAGCTGCAGAACCTGAGGTTCAAATCTTACCAGAATCAATATCAACACCAAGCATACTCCGACAGTTAAACTTTCTAGCTGTAAAAGGAAAATAATTGGCATAAGTAAGGAACCAGAGTACTAGAGAAGATCCAATTCCATAGTTTTCAATGAATACTGTAATATCCGGCGATTAAAAGGTGCAATGCACTAAAGCAACAAAGTTTTTTCAAACCAAGATGCAAACAAGAGGCATTCTTCAAGTGAAATGAGACGGAAATGTAGTACCTATCTGAATGGTAACTACGCCATTATTGCAACCAATGTCCAAGCAATCCTTGCCTTCAAACCATTCTTTCTTGAAAACCTTTAGACGAGGATCTTCCACCAAATTTTGACCTATCTGCAACACAAAAAATAAAGAAAATGCGACTAATGGTAACACTCATACTTTCAGCGAAAAAATATATATAAATACAAATAAAAAGCAAGAATCAAGAATTACTGAAGCGGCTGAAGTTGAAAAACAGAGTTAACTGGTGTAAACCAAGTCCCGAAAATATTTCTATTGTTTTTCCTCTACATCATTAACCCAAAACTAGTTGAAAACATGAACTGGAAACCTGAAATTGTGCAGCACTTCTCTGAACTATATTTCCCATGGACCCAACAGGGAAAACAACGAACATAAGAGGGAATTAGAATTACCCGATAGCCATAGTAGCTTTTATAATTGCCAAAGGGAAAAGCTTCCTTCTTGCGCTTTTTAAGATTTGGCTTGAGTTGTGCTTCAGTTTTCTCCTGCTCCTCCGCCATTTCCTTAAATCGCAACTTCAGCTACCTCTGTTCCTGATATTGTCTGAAGTGCAGGTGATGAAAGAAAGTATTTTTCCCGGCGGGAAAGGAGCGATGACAGCATGCAATGCGACGAACAAATTTCTCTAGGGTTTAACCAGCTTTCTTTCTTTCTTTCTTCCTAATTTTCCCGGCAAACCTGTAGGCGGCGCGTATATAGGTTCTTTTTCGCTTCCTTGTTTGTTTGCTTTTTTTCTTTTCTTTTTCTTTTTCTCTTTTCCAAATTTAATTACTATATTTTTTAAATATGTCAAAATATTTTAAATATTATTTTCTTTCTTTTATATATTCTAATTTTACCTTTCTAATTTTTTTGTTTCTTTTGAAAAGAAGATATATGAGTTGTTGATGTAATATATAACTGATATACCTAATAATTATATCTAACGAGAGGTACTTTAATGTACTTCATACTAGCCAAAACGAACATAATTCAGTGGTAATTGACATTTACCTATAAATAAGAAGTTGTGAGTTCAATCTCCTACCCCTACATATACACCTTGATATACTAAAATCGATCTACTCAAAATGTAAATCAATGTGTGTTAATATACTTCATATAAGGTATATTACTTGGTTGATATATCTTGATGTAGTACATACTAAGTAAATCAGTTAATTTATCTTATACTAATATATTTCGTATAAGATATATACCTAGTATGAAGTACATTAAAGTATATTAGCTATAATCGATATACCTAATATTATGTACATCAAATTTGGTAATATTTTTTCCATGGTTTCATCGTTTTCAAAACCATTCTAAAAACTTTCGTGAAATCCCTTCTATTAATTGATTAACGGTACTAGAATATACATGTTCCTAATATGATGAATGATTTTTTTCTTTTTAGTAAATTTCATAGAATTTTATATTCATCACAATTTAGACCAATTGATCGGACATAATTCTTTTAGACTAAAAATTACTATATTTCATTGAATATTAAAGGTCAGTGTAGTGTATTGCTTCAGCATTTATTAGATAATTAAATGTATTAGCTATTGTGCGAAGAATATCACTTAATTCTAAATTATAAAAAATGTCAAAATCGCGTTCTTTAGACCATTCCATTTGACTTGGGAAACATATTTTTAAGAGATTATATAAAAATTTATAATTTTGCATAAAACTACACTTTCAACCCATAATTCTAAATGAAATTTTTCTGAAACATAACATATCAAACATTTAAGTACATCGTCTGTATAACAATATTCATATAAGGTATAACAATGGTATATAAAATCAAGTCTATCAATGATACACCAGTAGCTCATTCGTATATCATCATTAATATAAGGTATATCGTCATAATTGGTTTACCTTGATGTACTAAGTTACATATATATCAATTATAACTAATTTACCTTATACAGTACATTAACACAGACTGCTATTTGAGAGTAAATTGAACAACCCGGTTTGCTAATTTTGCAAATAACTATTAGGATTTTTTATATTTTTGTAAGTGCTCCTTTAATTTTTCCTAAATGTCCTTTTATAGTATAAACAAAAGGTTATATATTTTTTTTATTAGATACCATTAGAGAGAGAAATATTTAAAATGCATTCACACTGTTAGGATATGGAACGTCTGTTTCTGACATTCCTTTTCCTACACTTTTTTGGCGACCACTTAAAAAAATTATCTTTTTATTTTTTAAAAATTCTCAAAGTGGCATTAAAAAATGTTCTCAAACTATTGTTTATTATTAAAATTATTAAAATAGGTTAAAAACACTTGTACTTAAGAACTACCAATTTTACAAAACCACTATAAAATCGTAATTAAGCACTTTAGCCAAACTTGCTCTAATATAAATTAATTATGTATCTTGAGGTTCAAATTTTATACAGAGAATGTAACCATACCAAATTCTTAAAAAGAAAAATATTCACTTCTTAAAATATACATTAAACAGAGTGTTATCTGTGAAATTCTTATTTTCAGATATGATACAAACTAGATTGTAGTTATCCGAACCTATATTTTTTCATAAAATTTAAAATTATGCTAAATTGAGATAATTACATCTACTAATCTCTTATATATAGAAAAAATTTAACTTTAACTATCTCTTATCAAAAATTAACTTAAAACACTTGAAAAGAATTAGTTTTCATGTCAACTTAAACCTCACTCAACTGATTAAGACATATAAGATACATATCTTCTAACCTCGGATATTCAAATCATCATCCCACATGGCATTTAAAGACAAAAAGAAAAAATCATTACTTATACAACTAATACCATATAATATATCAATAGCCGCGGAGCCAACCATGCTATCTCCAGGATATGGAACTTTATCTGAATCATACAAGTAAACAGAACTCGAGTTGGTATCAAAATTTTTGTGCCACAGATCGGCTCATCGTAACCAATAAATAAACATTACACAGAGTATGGCAAGTTTTCTTCTTTCTTTCTTTCTTTCTTTCTGTCTTTCACTATAATATAACTCATGGAGGTAAATCTTCCAAAGCCTAAACGTATACTTACTTGATCATCACAGTGTCAAGCCTAATAGCAAACCATCAAGACATCGTGGCATATATAGACAGGATCTCTCTATATTCAATCAGAAGCTAGACGCAAGCATTAAAAATTACTTTCAAGCTGGGATTGGATCTCATCTGGATGGCATTATCCCATGATTCTTTCACAGCTTACTCCAACTCCTTGAGAAAATCGATGTTATCTACAAAAACCTGCAGATGGATGATGAGAGAACAAAATATAAGTCAGATTTTTCAGTTACAGAAGGGAAAATCATAAGCCGGATTAATATGGCAATTAAACAGACAATGGGTCGAAATATTCATTTTCGTGTGATCTCGCATGTATGCGTAATAACCACCAGGCCTGCAGGAAATGTTCTATGGCAGAAGCATTCATTCACCTCAAGATCTAGTTTCTTGAAAATAAAAACCAAGTGGCTATTTAGGAGGGTTATGTCATACAATTTTTCTGTTTCTTAGAACAAGAATTCAGTGACAACATGTTTGATGGCTATTTTTTAATAAACAAATTTCTCAATTTATTTTCACAAAGGATTTATCTTTTAAAATATCTGAGATTGTTTTTTGTTCCAAATCCAACGATATAAGAAAAGATAATGAATAGTGATCCTAAGGGCACAATAATCTTTATATCTTTACATAGAGGTGGCCTAATTACTCTTGCAAACAGTTTTGAGAACAATACACTATTTTTGAGAACCAACTATAACAAACGCATGCAAATATGGCATCTCAAACTCTCAGGTACATTCCTCGCATACAAGCACATGGCTATGTTCAGAAGTTTAATTAGACTTTCTTGCGGTCGAATCTAAGTAAGTCACAAACAAGTTCAGAAGGAAACAAACTGAACGTGCATAAATAGATAGATTTTTAATCAGGACCAAGCTCCAACTGCTGAACATCACTGAGTTGGAGCATCTTTTACCTGTAGTTCATAAAGCTCATCATAAGCATGGTAACACATGCAAATTGCATTTTTAGTCAATGGAATCAAAACAAAGAGTCTGGGTCCATACCAAATCAGCTCTATTGGTGTTGACTGTTGAGCGAAAAAGTTTAAGCAATTTAATTCATAATAGAAGTCCACAAGGATTAAACATAAAATCTCTTTAAGCCATACCGTCTTCCAACCATCAGGATCTACGCATGCTGTAATTTTAGTGTTGATGCCAGGTAATGGTCCAGGTTCACGGGTGACCTTCCCCCCATAGAGTTTTACCGCTTCTGCAGTTTTATATACATCATCTGTGCCTATTGCAATCTTTTAAGGGGAAAGAAACCATTATCCAAACATCAATCCACTAAAATATAAATATTGCAGAAAATGAAGCTCTGAATTCATTTTTCTAATAGGGGGTGCTAAACCTGGGCATAACCATTCCCTTTATCGTAGTCGGTAACTCCATAGTTGTATGTCAACTCCAGCACGGTATGTTTATCTTCAGGGCCATATCCCAGCATTGCTATTGTGTACTGTAAGTTATACATAAAATCAACAGATTGAAGAGATGTTAACTAATAAACAACTATCCCTAGGAATAAACATGAAAGTGTAGCATGCATGTGTGTAAATTAACAAAAAGGCATAGGAGATTGCACAGTCTTCCCCAATTCTTTTTAACCAACTTTGCAATTTTAGTAAGAGTATAAGATAGATCTTACATAAATACCAATATTACCTTATACTCTGGATTATCTCGCTTGCGAAGAAGCTCCATGCCAAATGCCTTACATAGAATGCACATGATTTGGAAACAATATTATTAAAAAGATGTTTAAAAATAAATAATAATAATAATAAGCCCTATGAAAATAAAAATACAAACAATTAGAACAGCCCAATATAGCACACAGAACAAATCTCACCTTCTCATAGAAATCTATGGATCGATCAAGATTGCCTACATGAAGCATTACTTGGCATAAAGGTTCCGGAGTAGGCCCCCTTTCCAGAAGTTCAAATTTATAACCATCTGGGTCTTCAATAAATGCAATTACGGTACTGCCACCTTTAACAGGACCAGGTTCTCGGGTAACTTTTCCACCCTTGGCCTTTATCAGTTCCACAGTCCTGGAAACCTAACAGTAGAAGTGGGAATTAAAAACCATGGTAAAATCTGGTAATTATAAATTGATCTGGGACTGTATGAGATGATCACAAATCAAAGGGGGATTTGTGAACACGAGTAAATAAATTTAGATGGTATAAATGTGTATTCAAGTGTATAACATTGAAAGAAGAAAAAAAGGTTAATATTAGACTTACATCTTCAATTGCAATACCAAAATGGCCAAATCCAGTTCCAATATCATACTTGTCAACTCCATAATCTGTGATCAGTAGTCAATCAGAATAAACCAATTAGATTTATCTGATCAATTCGATGAGAGAGAAATACTGGCTAAAGTCATCAACACTACTCCAAGGTTTATGATTTGAAATTGTGTTTCGTAACTTACTGTAAGTGAGTTCAATGACGAAGTGAGCATCTTCTGGACCATATCCAAGAAATGCATTCGTATATCTCTCCTCTGAGATGTCACGTTTTCGCAGTAGCTTCATCCCCAAGCACTCAGTGTAGAATCTGCAATAAACATATTTTGTATTTTAACTGTCTTACGATTCACTAAGAGGGGAGGTAAAAACGAAAAAGAGACAAATAAGGAGATGTAGCAAGAAGCTTCTAGTCTATTGGAAATTATACATACTTTATCGTCCTCTCCATATCTCCAACCCGATAGACAACATGAAGCAACCTCCTCTTATCCTTTTTGACCCACTCAAGAAGATTTTCTGGACTGGCTTTTGTGCTAGCTTGTGCTGCATATCCATTTACGGCCACCCTCATGGTGTTATTATGCTCCTTTTTCAACAACTTCGAAGAGTTCAAACCAAATARTTGAGCCTGTGGAACAGCTATATAACAACTTAACATCATTCTCCCGAGATATTAATTTCCAGAATGCCACAAAATTTCATGTCAACGTCGTGATACCAAATCAGAATCAAAGCTATAAAATACAGAGAACAAACTTGAAGACATCGAACCAAACGGCTTCAAATTACTTTAACGTAAAAACCAACGTTAAAGACATTTACAGATACAAAACGTATTTTGAAAAGATGCATTCTGGAGATACTATTGAAAATATCACCTCATCTACATAAAACTCCACACATTGTAAACGGGGAACTACTGACAAGAATGAAAACTCTGAGTGAGTTTATCAGCGACTATGCTTTTGTCTTTTTTCGACATGCAGGAAACGGAAGCAACAGAAGTCATCGTGCTTAAACAAAATAGCTATAAATCTAACTGTGACTGGTTTTAACAGAACACAACCAATTTCTCAGAAGCAGGAAAGAATCCCGAAACCGGCCAATCACTGCCTCCAAGACATGATGACACTGTAGCATAGCAGCATACTGAGGGACACATATAGAAACGATCAAATTTAGGGGAAAGTAAAGGGAAGAATAGCCGCACCAAAACCGAGATGAAATGAAGCCAGCCTCCGAGTTGGGGCGTAGGAAGTGAGAGAACGAGCCAAACGAGAAGCGGCTGCAAACCTAAATGACGAAATCGAAGGTCGTAATGAGGAAGCCATTGGTAATATCCTCACCATCACTCCGCTCCTCCGTCACCTGGGCTCAACGTCAGCACAAGTTTTTCAAACTCAATTTTCAAATCTTCTTTTCTGTTCTATTCCTTTCCTTGAATGTTCTAGAGATTTGCAGCGATTATGAGGGTTCGAAGTAAGGAGAAGAAGAAAACGAAAGGAGTGCGAAGGCGCTACTGCGAAAGATGCGAAACGCATTCATTTTCAGCTCCATCCATGCGAAAGGCTTGTGCCAGAAAAAGATTGCTCTCTGGCCCGCGTCCACCTGTACACCTCCTGTTTGTTTTGTTGAACGTGCTATCCCGATCCCGGTTGGAAGTCTCCCTTCTTAGGGCTCCACTTAAACGGACCTTTCTAATGGGCCGGACCAGAAAGAATAGGGGCCTTACTGCATGAACTACATTGATTACGTTAAATAATAAATAAATAAAATAATATTATCCATAAATATAGCCTTTTTTTATGAGGTATTATTATAGCTAATAAATATATAGTCATGGGTATATCAAATATGACTTAAAAAGCTATATCAAATATTATAATATAATATGTACTGTAAACTAAATTTATAATCTTGCTTATGGGTTTTGCTTTTCTACTTTTACCTTCAAATATTAGGATCACTTTAGTTCTTCAACTCTCAAAATTGTTTCATTTCCATCCTTGAATTTTTAAAATATTTGTTTTAATTTCTAAGCTTTAAGAAATAACTAGTTTAATATTGATTGTACTAATTAATATATATATTCTTTAAAATATATACATATACATACATAACAAATTGAATAAGTGGGTATTAGGTGAATAAATAATATGTCAATGACTAAAATAATTAATTTTTTTTATAACTTTAAGGACTAAAATGATTAATCATTATTTTTTTTATTACAATACCTGTGGAGATCAAACTCACAGACCCTTGATTGTAGATATATGTTAATTAACTCTGAGATATGCTTAGAATATAACTAAAAGTTCAGAAACTAAAATTACATACAAATATTAGGTTTAGACACTATTTCAGTTTCTACCATTTCGGTTCATTTTGGCACTCTCAATTTTTGTTCATTTTACTGTAGGTATTTTTTTTCCAAAAACATCACTTTTGGTTCCTTTACTTAAAAGTAAAGGTTATTGTCCTTATTTGTACAATTTTATACACAATAAAAATTATTTAATATAAATTTGTGACTACATTTCAAAAGTTTAGAAATGAGCTTAAAAATGAAAAAAAGAAGGACAAAAATAATCACTAAAAGTACTAAAACAAATATACAACTATACAACTATACGATAACTAAAATAATCCAAACACAAAAGGTAAGAAGTAAAATAATATTTTATAAAAAAAAAAAAAGTAACACAAACTTTTGAAGAACAAAATTAAAATTGAGTGTGTTGTTTTCGCGAGAAAGGAGGGGCATTTACATTCCAGTACAAGCTAAGCAGTGTGGCACAGGTGGGGCTTTTTCCACTT